AGCACAACTAGGTTTCAATAAGCTTCTGGCTTTTCCTAATCCCAGGTAGCAGTTTTTATTTCTTAAGTCGTATTTAATACAACACATTCATGATGCCTCAAAAGAATTGGCCTAGCCAGGATGCTGGCATATGTCTTTGAACTCTGTGAGTTCAAGGCCAGCCATGTCTACATAGTGAGTTCCACCCTAGAGAGAGGTAGGGGTGCCTAGACACGAGCATGGTGGGCAGAGAAGCACACCCCCTTGCATTAGAGTTGCTGCTCGGAGGTGGTTCTGCCAGCTAGATTTCTGGCTTTTCTGGTTTTAGGAAAGATTTTCGTATTTGCCATTTGCCCTAGGAGACATTACAAAGCTAACCAAGGGGCTGGAGAGATGGCTCAGCAGTTAAGAGAGCCCACTGCTCTTACAGGGAACGTGAGTTCGGTTTCCGGTAATCACAACGGGTGACTCGCAACCACCTGTGACTCCAGCTCCAGGGGACTTGATTTTGTGTTCTGGCCATTGTGGGCACTTCACTCATGAGCACAAATCTACACACACACACACACACACACACACACACACACACACACACACACACACCCCTTTTAAAAATCTTAACAAAAATATAACCCAAACCAAAAGCCAGTAGAAAAGTCTCCCCAGCCCTTTCTATCTAGAAACATATATATGAATTAAGTTTATATCTTAAAATTATATGATCAGAAATCTTTGAAAAATCAAGTCATTTTTGCAATTGACCACAAAGTGTGACGTGGGGCTGGAGAGATGGCTCAGAGATGAAGAGAACTGACTGCTCTTGCAGAGGGCACCAGCTCAATTCCCCCATGCTCGTGTGTGCACCCATATGGTGGCACACAATCCTCTGTAACTCCAGTCTCAAGACATCTGACACCCTTGTGGCCTCCTTGGGCACTGTGTGCATGTGGTGCTCAGGTGTACACATAGGCAAAACACTCATACACTAAAAATAAATAAAAATTTAAAAACGGAAAGCGTGAAATGGTTAGTGTTGTAAGCTGATGTTTAGTAACACAGACTACAGAAAAAGCAGAACTGTGAACTATCACCAAGGCTCCAGCTCTGTCCTGGCCAGCAGCACAGGCCACGGGGTAGTTTTCATGACAGCTCTTGAGTCGTCAGCCACACTTAACAATTGTGAGGCTGGCTTTGAGGCACCGGGCAGTTGGTTAAGGCAGAAGGTCCCCACAGCACCTGTCTGAGGAGCAAGGGTTCTTGAGGCTCCCCTCCAGCCACACAGGTCACACTTGAGACCTTGCTGAGCATGCAAACCCTCCACCTGTTCTCACCAGGCCTCCAGAGGGTTCTGACATAAGCATATTGCTGTAAAAGATGCTAGAAAGGTTTCTAGTGTAGGATGACCTGATGCCTGCCTGCTTTGGAGGGCAGTGTGGTGACTAGGGCCTTATTCCAAACACACATATTGCAAAGGTCCTTGGAGATCCATCCAATGGAAAAGTCATCTGTTTGTCATGTGTTACCATAGTAACAATAGTGCAAAGCATCATTTACTCCTATAAGAAAAGTCTCCTTTGCAAGAAACATTACTTACAAAAAGATCACCTTGTCCTGAGGAAACCAGATGTTGGAAGAGAAAATAGGGTCAGCAACCTTGCCAACATCTACCTACACCTCTCCAGGCCTCACACCCAGCGAGCCCAGTAACTCCCTCACACCCTAACTGCCCAGTATGGAAGGCATGAGTCCTGAAAGACTCATGGAAGGCAGACAGCAGAGGCCTGAAAGATGACATTTCCATGTGATGGAGAAATCCCCTAATGAACCCTCAGCACGAATCCAAAACAAGGTCACCCATCCCCTCTGTCCCCCATTCATGCCAGCCTTCTCTGAGGTCTATAGGCAGTCTTCACCTATGTGAAGTGCTGTCAAAAGAGGCTTTGTCTCTGTATTATAAAGCCCATCTCTGTCACAAAATCAATTTTATTTTCAGTGAAGCATTTATTTATTTCCTTTGCAGCGGTAGGGATGGAAACTGGGGCTTTGAGCATGCCAGGTAAATGGCTTTACCACTGAGCTGCATCCTCAGCCTAATTATTTTTATGGTTTGTAAATCTGTTGACCATCTCATCTGATTTCCTAACAACCTGGAAGGCGGGGCTGGTTTTATTATCCCCACTTTACAGAAGAGAATGCAGCTGGCTGCTGAGTACTAAAGAGCAGGCACAAAGGCTTGACATGAAAAATGAAATGGTTTGCAATGTACGGAAGAATGCCTAGATTTACGTGAGTTTGACGTCTGTCAGGTGACTCTGACTAGAAATCACTCAGGTAGGTTTTCTGGCAGAGACAGGGTGAGGAGCTTGAGGCAAGCTCAGGTGGTGACCTGTGGGTCATAGAACCCACATAACCTGCCACGACATCCAGAATTCTCTGGGGCTCCGAGTACCAACAACAAGGGTATGGGTGGCATTAAGGTTAATTAAGCTCTTACTACATACCAGACATTAGACTGCAGGCATCAAGTCTATCCAGTAGCCCTCTTAACATCTCCATTTCACAGAGAGGAAAAACAAGGCACAGAAAGGCTATCTAATGCCCACAACTTAACCTCTTGTTCCCTGGACGCAAAGGAGGTGCCATGCCCAGGAGGAGAACCTTGCTTGGGATGGCAGTCATCACAGGAACCTGGATTACATTTCCAAAGTTACCATTTGGGCCACATTCCCCACACTCTCCCTCAGAACATGGGTAAGTGTCAGGATCCAAGCCTAAGCCTCTACGGAAGCAATAACAGCCAGGTCTCTCTCAGGCCAATCTAGGGTTTTCTAGAGCGTGTTTATCGATGAAACACTGGCTGATTTGCCTGGAGCTGTCTAAGAAAAATCAGAGAGGAAAACAGTTCAGAGGAAATACCACAAATTAAAGACACGTGGGAGGCAGCCGTTTGAGTAAAGGCACAGACCTAAGGGCTGTGATTTTTTCTTTTAAAGAGTATTAAATAAAAAGAAATCCTCACTGGTGTAAATTAATCCCTCTCCACATGCAATTTTTTAAAACTACTCATTCTGGATAGTACAAGCCAGCTTTTATAGATTGGTCAATCTTACGTTTATAATTTTTTTTTTTCCTCTCAAGGCAGCAGAGAACAAGTTGAATAGCGGCAAGGAGAAAATTACAGCCTGAGTGCTGCTCCATGCTGAGTGCTGCTCCATGCTGAGTGGTTAAAGGGGCTGGGGGCACACAGCTGTCCACAGCTGCTGGGAGGCACTTCTACCTCCCATTCTCACTGAATAAACAACCTTGCCATCCTAGAGCTCAACCACAAAGAAACCGAACAGTGAGTTCTAGAGTTTTCTACACCATCTCTCCTCAAAGCCACATCCCAAACCCCAGCGATGGGACTGGTGTGTTGACCACAGGTGAGGTGACTTCCACACCCGCACTCGTTGGTCTTTAGTGAGGCGGGTCCACCTCTACCTAAGGGCTGTGTCTTTGCACAGTCCTTTCTTCCTCTGTAAAATGGGAACAAGGATGGCTCCTTCTTCATCAGGTGGGGGTGCGAGCCAAATGAGGGAACGGAAGGAATTAGAAACTGCGTGGCAACACCAGGCAAGCACTCACGGGGTTCCAGCTAGTAAATACTATTCGGAGGGGAAAAGGGATGGGAAAACAACCCGCAGGCTTCCCTACATCTCCGCGTTTCACAGCTTTAAATACATGTATTTGAGGTGAAAACCAAAGTTAACATACACCCAAAAGGTGGTTCCTGCAAAAAGTGAGGAAATCTGCCCATAACTGTCACTTCAGGTGAGGGTGCAACTAGGAGCGTCTCGGTGTGTCCCCTCCTGCCGCAGAGCTGGACTAGCCTTTCCAGGGCAGGAGTGAGGGGGACCTATGCACCCTCGCTCACCTTGGCTGTGACAGGCTGCAGCTCTGCGCACATTTTGGGGAGGGGAGTTCCAAACTTCCTTCTGGGCTCGATTGACCCTGGAGCAAGCATCTTGCTTTACAGGGCTTTAATTAATAATTAGAACCAGATTCTCATGAGCCCAAGCTGGTCTCAAACTCACTATGTAGCTGAGAGTGGTATTGAACTTATGATCCTACTGCCTCTGCCTTCCAAGCGCTGGGGTTACAAGTTCGGCTTTACATGATGCTGGGGATCCTTCCCTGGGCTTGGTGCCTGCTAGGCAAGTACTCTATCCCCGGACCTACAGCCTCAGCCTCCTTACTGGGTTTTTAAGTGCTGAAGGTATCAGGAAAGATTCACAAGGCAGCAGCAGTGACCGGGACACCTGGGTACTTCAATCCACTCTATCAAACATCACAGACCCTGCACCAGACGGATGAGAGCGGATACTGTGTTTGGAAACACCCATGTCAAGGACAGACCAGTCACCGGAGCACACACCTGCGAGCTTCGCCGCGGGAAAATCTCTCCCGTCACCCAGACACGCGGGGACGCGTGTCCCCTCCCCCACCCCCGTTTATGTCCAAGAACCAACTCTGAGGAAACTGGTCACGCTCAGGTGTCACTTCTGCCTCCTCTGACAGGGACACCATGGCTTCCAGGGAAGCTCATTAGCAGAACAATTAATCCGCACAAAACCCCCAAACCCACCCCAGCGCCTAGGAGAGCTTGAAGTCGAAGGCGGAGGGCGCGGGTGCGCAACGTGGGCTCCCGCCCCGGGGAAGAGAAAGGGGCTCAAGCCAGGGTCACCCAGAGGGTCGCACTCAGACAATCCGCGCTCAGGCGGCTCCGGGGAAGCCCGGCTCCGGGACAGCCAGGTAGGCAGGAGGGCGTGGGCACCGGCGAGCCAACGCCGCGCCGAGTAAAGTTCAAGCCGGATCTCACCGCCGGGCGGCCACCTTGCCAGGACTGTCCCCCGCTTCACAGTTCTCAGTGACTCCCGGGGGCTGGCTCGCACCCTCCCACCCACTTCACACACCCGCCTCTCTTCCCCCTCTCCCAAGCGGACTCGGGAGCACCTCAGGGACGCCGGGTGTCGCCTACATACCCAGCGCTAGCAGAGCGAGCTGTCCGGCTGCGGGGACCATCTTCCGAGCGCAGGGCGCTGCAGCCACCGCGCTCCCTGCGGTTGGCTAGTGGCCGCGCGCCGCCGCGGTGAGCGCGGAGAAAAAGGCGCAGGCGGCAGGGCCGGCCCCCGGCGCGCGGGCGGAGGGACGACCGCGCCTCCCGGTGGCACTGGCCGGCACGCTGCCCGCGGCGGAAACGGGAAGGAGGTTCCCGCCACCTCTCCGCCCCTAGGCGACCGGGGCGCGGCGGACCCCCCCCTTCCCGCGATGGGGCGCCCCCGAGGGCGCAGGGGTGGGGACTGGGAGCCGGGGTGGGGACCTGCGCCCCGATCGCGACAGCCAGTCACCACCCTGGGCCAAGGGCCAGGCAGGAAGCGCCTGGCTTCAGACACCTCCCCGTGGTGCTCGTGCCCAGGGTCGCCGCCCGAGTCCCCTGCGCAGTAGCCGCGTCCAGGCTGTAGGCGGCGGAGCGGAGTCGCCCAGGATCTAGTCACCTGTGCCAGGGGCTGCTCCAAGACACTCCTGAGCAGGAGCCTGGAGACCTTAGCCCGTCACGCGGCGGGGCCTGATCCAAGAAAAGCGCTCTCTCCATAGTTAGCCAAACACTAATTAAACTCGAATTCTCACCTGTGCCCCCCCAACCTTGCTGGCTCTGGGACGCCGGCACCAACCAGGGGCAAAGCCACCCTGCGTCCCCAGATACATTGTGAAGATCAGGGACTCTGTCTACCATGAACTTAATCACGCGTCAACCCCACTGTCCCACTGCTTCGGGGGTGCGGGAGTCGGAACAAGGGCTGGCTAGCACGCAGTTAAGAGAAGGACAAAGGAGAAATGAATGGTGGGGGTTAGCTACCTGGCCCTTTCGGGATTTGTAGCTTTGGGCTGGCCCCTGACAGTGAACTACGAGAGCGGAACACAAGAAGGGAAGACTTTCTGGGTGGGGAAAGGATGGCTCATGCTGTCTGGGGGGGACTATTCATGGGGGACAGTAGTCCCAAAGAGACTAGTCATAGTTGTCAGATTGACCCCCACCTGCTTCCTGCGGCCTAACTGCCCCAGAGAGGACCCACTTTCCTTGGGGGTGGAGCGTCGGTGGTAGGGTGTGTTGGCCTTGGGATTCTCTTGCTGTCTCCTTAGCTGGATGCTCAAAGTCTCAGGGTTAAGAACTCCAGTTTATTGTAAGAACAGAGGGACTTCTGTTCCAAAATGAGGCCCAAGCCTTCGGACCCGACGGGTGGCCGCCGTGCTGATCATCTTTCTGTTGCTGTGACAACAGCATGCGCGATACGGAACTTAAACGAGATAAGATTTGGGTCTCTGTTTTAGTTCATTGTCGCTTGGCCCTATAGCTTTGGGTCTGTGAAGAGGAAGGACACCATAGTGGGGAGCATATGGCAGCCCCAAAGCAAGGAAGGGGGTCCCAACATCCCCTTCAAGGGTACACTTGCATTGATCTACCTCCCTCCAACAGGGCCCCACCTCCTGAAGCGTCCACCGTCTCTCACTAGCGCCGCCCACTGGGGGCCCAGGCAAGCAACAAATGAGTTTTTATGAAAAAGAGTGTTATACCCAAGCATCTTGTTTGTTTCAATTAATTAACTGATTGATTTTTGTCTTTTGGAGACAGTGTCTCATTGTGTAGCACTGTTCATCCTTGAACTCACAGAGGTCCACCTGCTTCTACCTCCAAAGTTCCGAGATTAGAGGCCTGCACAGTCATACCCAGCTCCAAGTGCCTTTTTTGGAAAAAAAAAAAAAAAAAAAAGATTTGTTTATATTATTTGTGTAAGTGTTTTGACTGCATATACATGTGTGTACTACATGCACATCTGGCTGGCGTCTGATCCCTGGAGCTGGAGTTACTGATGGTTGTGCACTGCCATGTGTGGGGAGCTGAACCCAGAATCTCTGCATGGGTAGCAAGTGCTCTCAACCACTGAGCCATCTCTCCAGTCCCACCACAAGAGGGTTTTTTTTGTTTGTTTTTTGTTTTTGGAGGGGGACATTTAAGATCTAAACCGTAACATATGAGCTGTTCCATTATAAAAGGATACTTTGAAAGGGATGTGAATTTATATAGGAAACCATCCTTTCTCTACACTGACTAGAAAATACTGTGCTTCCTCCGTCCCTTTATGCTGTGCCTGGTGAGGATCTCCTGTCAATCATTCCCTCCACCCATTGCATAGCACAGGGGATCACTTCCTTCGGTTGACCTGGACCTGCCCTGGGACTTGCCTGGTTTTCTGGCTACAAGAGGCAAGGAATGGGGGCTAGGGACTGGCTGTCTCCTTCCTGGAACACATGCAGAGCAGCGAAGGCTGTGGTTCGCTGCTGGCTGTCTGGGAATTGGTCTCTCCTGGTCCCCTGCCCACTGCCTACACACTATTGGGGCTGGCAGAATTAAGCAAGTGGGCTGGTCCCCTGAAGGTCTGGAAAGTATTTTCAATCAAAAGATAATTGTGGGGCTGTAGAGATGGCTCAGAGGTTAAGAGCACTTGTTACTTTTGCAGAGGACCAAAGTTCAATTCCCAGCACCCACATGGTGGTTCAAAACCATCCATAACTCCAGTTCCAGAGAATCTAATGCCCTCTTTTGACCTCTGCGGGCACTAAGCATGCACATGATGGTGCACATACACAAATGCAGGTAAAGCACACTTACAATAAAATGAGTAAATCTAATTTAAAAAATGTTCTTTAACAGAAAAAAAAGATAATTTGCTAGCTTGAAAACTCAAAAGCATACAACTCCAAGTACCTTCTTTCTGTTTTTACTCCTCCCTTCCGTCCTCCCTCCCTTCTTCTCTTTTCCCCTCTGTCTGCTGTTCTTTTCTGGGGCAGGGTCTTGTTACACAGCCAGGCATCGTCAGTTCTCCTGTCCCAACCTCTTCGGTACTGGGACAACAGAAACGCGCTGTCATGTCATGGCTGGTTTAGAGCACGCTCTAACACTTGAAAATCACTCTCTATCCCCCGAGGTTTTCGTGAGCTGGTGCAACGAGGCTTTAAACAGTCCAGTTCAGTTTTTCACTCTTTGTGTGTGTGGTATGCTTATGTGGGTATGCATGTTTGCATGTGTGCGGGTGTCTATGCACATTTGTGCCTGCATGTGGAAGCCAGAGGTGAAATCGTCTTTGGCTGTCCTTCTCCCTTATTTGTTCATTGAGGTAAGGTCTCTTAATCAAATCCAGAGCTCACTGATTGGACTAGTCTGCCAGCCAGCTTGCTCTGGGAATCCCCCATCTCTGCCTCCGAGTTTGGAATTTCAGGTGAGCTTTGACATCACCCAATGTTTGCGTGGAGTTCGGGCTCTGAACTCCAGTCCTCACGCTTGAGTGGCAAGTACTTTACCCACTGAGCCGTCTCCCCAGACTCTTTCTGGTTTATTTTCTGTGAATGATAATGGGGTTTGGAAAGCAAATAGCAAGAGTGATGCTGAAAACAAAATCCGTTCTGAGGTTTCTCTGCTCTACTGCCTCAGTTTCCCACATTTTATCGAAGATAATACTTAACTTGTTGGGATTATAAGAGAATCAGGTGCCAGAGTTTGTCTGCTTAACAGTGTTTCATATGAACAAAGCTAGTTATTAAAGTTTCCCTCCATGGACTCGCCTCCCCATTCCGTGTTCCCTACTCTTTCCTTCCTTAATCATTCCATGCCAATTTCCTTGTTCATGAGTTCACATACGTGCACACACACCTATACACATACAGATATGTACACCTGCATGTGCACACATACATAGTCATGTTTCAGCTATACGGAATTCATTGTTCTCTGAGCTGAGTGAATATCAGTGGTGTCCTTGAGACTGCAAGGACTCAGTGTCCTTCCCCTGCAGACCCTACATCCCTACATGTCCCCTGCATCCTCAAGGCTCCATTCCTGTGTGCACACAGAGCCCTCTTTACAGGAATACACCCCGGATTGAGCAAGGTGATTCACTTGGCAGAGCCAAGCATGCCTGTCCCTGAGCAAACAAGAGAACATTGGTAGGGCTAGGGCAGAGGCCACCAAGTCACAGCCCAGGTGTACTCCATCCAGATTCCAAGGGTGTATGTAGGGGGTTCTTTCTCCACCTTCCCCCAACCTCCCTTCGTTCCTGGTTATGGGCAGTCACAGGTCCTAGTGTTTTTGCTTACGATTCAGCCCGCTGGCCTGGCCTTGAGTAGATGGCCCCAGATACTTCTAGAAGGTCTTGAGGAGGGAATACAGCCATGAGCGTGAGAGGAAGATGACTCCTATGTGCCAATCTCAGAGCCAGTGACCTGCTGGCTGCAGCATATGAAGGACCTTCCCTTGGGAAGCGACACATGACAAGGGGAGGGGAGTGGCAGAGGCACCCACCAGAGGGCAAAGGTCAAAAACCATTGGTCGGGGGACCCTTTTGGAGGATTCTGAGAACTGAGTTTTTGTGGAATGAGGAGATTCTACCACAACAAGGAATTTAGGGAGAGAAATGGATGCTAAGTGATGAATTGTCTAATTTTCAGCTCCACAGAGGCCTCAGCTGTCAGTGTCCCCAGCTCTAGGGGAGGACAGAGAAGGGGGACTCATGCTGGGTTCATTTTGAGTCTTCCTTGCCTGGGTAGGGGAGACCTCTGCCCTTAGGCACCTGGGCGATTTTCATTGCTAGTGCTGTTCAGAATTGATGGTGCCCCTGCTTCCTATGAACCGCCTAGTGCTCAGGCTGACCTCAGATGTGGACACTGGACATGTGAGCTACCTCAAATCCTTCCATCCTAGGCGACAATGGCCGCAAAGCATGGGTAGGAAGCTTGGGTGTTTATGGACCCCTAGATGGTGCATGCTGGTCATGGCACTGGGTTGGATGCTCTAGGGCTCTGGAACACCAATGGCTGCTGCAGCGGAAGCATCGTCATCCGATAGCTTGGGAACTTCCTGGGGATCTAGATGCAGTGAGACAAACCTACTCTGGACTCGGCACATTATGTGAAAAACACCACTTCTCTCCAAGCATGCTCAGAGGCAGAAGAATAATTCACTGGACATCCAGTTATGGGTCCATTTTCTTTGCCGCTGTCCCCTAGTGGTCTTGAATACACCATCACACTTTTCTGGAGACTGAGAAGATGATCTCTGGAACCCTTAGCAGTTCCTATGGCAAGTCCCAAA